TGTCTTTTTTCTTTTTTTTTTTTTTTTTTTTTTTTTTTTTTTTGAGAGAGAGAGGTTTGTGAAGAGTTCCTCAGTGTATTTGCTTAATAAATCCAACCAGAAAAGATTTTGGGGCAGATTCGTCTCTCAGTTAGAGAGGTGTGAAAGGTAGCTGTCTTGTAGCCATGCCAAGCTGTGCTGACTCACTCCTATTAGTGAGCGATAGTAACTAGGAGCCGTAGTGGGTGATGCTAATGTGAGCAGACCCGATTGAGTACACACAGGAAGCAGACAGTTGAAGTAAGAAGCTGCTATTCTTACACCCTCCGTTTTCAGACTTGGGCAAGGAAGAAGGAGCGTGCGTGCAATAATGTGTGATATGAACAGAACAGCTACTAAATTGGAAGGTCTTTTCATAGTTTCTGATATAAAAAGCCCCGTTCTGCCCATGATGTATTGCCTTTGAGGGATGCTGGAGTTTCTCTTGTGCTTTCTGCGTTAAGATGTAATTCACAAAGCTGGGAAAACCTGATGCTTCTAAATATCCCATTGAATCGGCTGGGGAGAAACGCCAGAGAGCTGAATGCGTCAGTGTGAATGTGTTGTTATGGATAGAGCCGGGACGAGGAGAGCGGGAGGAGAGCTGTGAAGAGAGACGTGACTTTTCATGCTGTTACAGAGCAGCGTGAGATCCTGCGGGGATGTTTCTTGCTGTAAGCTGGGGAGAGAGGACAGGGGATGACAGTAGCTGGTTACCTTCAAGAGGGAGCAATTCTGAAGCATCCTGCAAAGAGCCAATTTTTCAGGTGCCAGTGCTCCACCAGGAAGAAGAGGAGGAGAGTATGTCGGGTCCCGGTACCGATGTGGATACCTGCTTTGCTATCAGATGAGAATGCAGTGCTAAAGTTCACCTAGCAGCAAGAGGCATGCAAGAGGGGGGCAACAACTGGAGCTTCCTTCCCCAAATGTTTCTTTGCTGGGAGAAACTACTTAGCAGCAAACCTGCCAGCAACACTTGGCAGACGGTCGGTCTCTGCGTGCAAACCCCTCCAAACTGCGTCTTCTTCAGCCTTGTCCACTGTGCTGACAGCCGCTAGCGAAGGCTAACAGACATAAACTGCAGCCCCACAGGGTTATTTCCTGCAGTGAGTCACCGAACTTTACAACTGACCCACTGAAGAGGGGAAATTGTGCAAGAAATGTCAACAAAATTATTCAGACGTGCAATTGGAAAAGAGCTCTCCTGCCCTCTAGTGCCCTTCCCCTCTCCCGGGCGGCTTCCTCCCACCCCAGGCTTTGCTCTCCTGCGATCCCCCGGCTTGTGGAGCCAGGACTGGGGGGATGCAGTGTCTGTCCCTGCAGAAATCCCAGGACGTAGCGACCATCCATCCCCAAACAAACACAGCTGTCCAAGTGGGTTTCAGTAGCGGGGAATAACTGAGCTTACATAGGGAAGTGCAATTTAACCAACTACCTTCTTGCACGATGGCTTCCAGACCAGCATTGGCCTTGATAACGTCGCTGGTCAGCGTGTTTGTAATTTGATTAAGACACAGCCAGCTCCCTGTAAAGCTCTCGTTCCATATGCACAAGGATCCCCAAGTGACAGATGCACCACAATGACCCAGTGTGCCCCTGCCACC